GTTGTACTCACGTGCTGCAGCAGGAGTAACGTGGCACGCGTCAGGGTAGAATCTAGTGCTCTGTGGACATTGGAATGAATTCTTACCCATCCATTTGTCCACATGGGGGGCATCTTCCTCCCCAGACAGGAATCCAGCCCTGGGCTACTCAAATTTAAGCTCTAGACCCATCTAGAGTACACCTCCCCACCTTCAGGGCATCCCCTCTGCTGCCTTACTAATGCAGGAGCCAGCTCCATCTCTGAGGCGAATCTAGTGCTCTGTGGACATTGGAATGAATTCTTACCCATCCATTTGTCCACATGGGGGGCATCTTCCTCCCCAGACAGGAATCCAGCCCTGGGCTACTCAAATTTAAGCTCTAGACCCATCTAGAGTACACCTCCCCACCTTCAGGGCATCCCCTCTGCTGCCTTACTAATGCAGGAGCCAGCTCCATCTCTGAGGCAACTCGTGTGGCCCATCCCTCCCCCCAGGCTGGGATTTGAGGGGTTCACAAGTCCAGCGCTGCTCTTCTTATTCAGCAAAGGCAGGGCACTCACTAAGACTACAACACAATCCCAGCATGTCCCGCCCCATATGGCCGTTGAAACTACAGCTGTATTGTTTGCCTTGTGGATCTTAAGGCCGGGAATAAGTTGGAAAAACTCAGCCCTTTAATTTTCAAGATAATACTGTCTGGGGGTGGAGATGATCAACTTTCCTGCTTCAGGGCACAAGCCAAACTCCAACGGTGGATGAGGGAACCAGCTGCAGCTTATTCCATGCGTGTCCGCTCCAGGCTGTCCCTTACCTTCCGTTGCAGTAGCGGATACTGCCTGTGGGATGCTGGACAATGTGGTCTGAACTGGTCTGGCAGTTGCATGTCAGCTCTTTGGGGCAGGGTCTGTCTTTTTGTTTTGTTTGTACCGTGCCCGGCATAGTGGGGTCCATGACTGAGGTTCCAAGGAGCTACAGGAATGCAAATAAATACATCCGAGGTTCTGCTCAATCTGGCTGGGTTTTCAGGTGCAAACCCCGTAAATCGCTTTGGGGAGGTGGGGAAATTGGAGCCCTTCTGAAACGGCAAGAGAGAGAAGCTCAATGTCTGTAGTTGTTTAGAAGCTTCGGGGGTAGCCACGTTAGCCTGGACAGGACAAACTTCAAAACAACAAATTGTCTCGTAGCACTTTATAGACTAAGAAAACATGGAGATGGGATGATGGCTGTGCCCACGAAAGCGCATACAGGGGTAGCCCGTGAGCCTAGGCAAACTAGGCAGTTGCCTAGGGCGCCGCCAGCCCAGTCGCCCAAAGATGACGTCATGGCCATTGACGGCCGTGCAGCCGGGGGCGCCAATCGCGCCTTCCGCCTGGGGCGCCAGCTGCTGCAGCCGGTCTCAGGCCGCTCCTGAGCGCATGACACTACCTAGATGTTTTGTTAGTCTATTAAGTGCTACCAGACCATTTGTAGTTCTTAAGACAGGGATTTTCAAAGGCACTGAAGGGAGTTTGGTCTCTGATGTCCCATGAAACTCAATGGGAGTTGGAGGCCAAGCTCTCTTGTTCTCCTCTTGAAAATCCCAGCTTAGGCGGGGGAGGGGGTGAAACATTTCCCACCCTGGAGCAGAGAGGGTGGGGTCAGGCCCCCCCCTTGCCTGACCAGAACCCTGCTGGCTGCTCCATTGCAGAAAGCAGCGGGCTATCACCTGGACTTGTTCTGGGTGGGGATCCTGATGGCCGTGTGCTCGTTCATGGGGCTGCCGTGGTACGTGGCTGCCACCGTCATTTCCATCGCGCACATCGACAGCTTGAAGATGGAGACGGAGACCAGTGCGCCGGGGGAGCAGCCGCAGTTCCTGGGCGTGAGGTGAGGGCTCTTGCGATGCCGTGCCGCTGTCCATCCCCGTCCGGCAGGCAGCTGCTTGGATTTGAGGAGTGGAGGCCCAGGGTGCGGGGCGAGAAGCCTGCAATCCCTGCGGTGCTTCTAGCTACAGAAATGGAGCCACATTTCCCACACAGCTGTCAGGGGATGTTCCACAGGAGAGCTGAGCATTGCAACCACCTGTTGCAGGGCAGTACGTGCAGGGGGCCTGCAAAGCGAATCCAACCAGGGTCTCTGGGTGCAATGGGCCGGGTGCAGATATAAACCCTTCTCCTCCCCATTGTCCCCAAACCTCCTGGCAGTAGGGGCTGATCTAAGTAACAGACCAGACTCTCCCCCGCCCTTCGAGGGGAGCCCGCAGGGCCCAGGGGATTACCTGGGGGGGGACTGGCATGGGATGGCAGCAGGGGTCCCCCCACTCACCGCAGCAGCGGGAGCCCGGGAAACAGAGTGATGCAAGCGGCAGCCTTCACTCCTGCTGGTCGCGCCGCTTCACCAGGGTGGCGGGGAGCAGGGCACCCCTGGCCCTGCCTGCTCCACTCCCAAGCGGTGCCGGGCTCGGGGGGCAGAGCACAGTGGGTGAGGCCAGCACCTTCCACAGTGAGTGCGGGGGGCAGCGACTCCTGCTGCTGCCCTTCACTAAGCCCCTGGCCACTCCCCAGGTTGCGTCTCTCGGGAGGGAGCTATGGGGAAGAGATACAAGGGGGCAGGAAGAAGTAGAGCAGAGCTGGTGAGAGGCGGGGCAGGACGGGGGCCCCCTAAGGATGGCCCAGGTCCATGCCAGTGGGGTCGAGAGAGTCTCCAGACTTGCTGAATCCCCCCACGCGGCGGTTTTTAAAGTTCCACTCGGCCCTCGAAGGCTCCGGGGGGTTATTTCTCACTGAGAAATGAATCAGAGGGGGAGCCGAGTTCGTCTGCAACAGGGAAAACTTCAAAAACAACAACTAGTCCAGTAGCCCCCTAAAGACTAACAAAACATGGAGCTGGGAGCATGAGCTTCCGTGGGCACAGCCTGCTTCTTCAGAGAAAAGAATATAAGTAGGGGTGGGGGGGGCATTCAATAAAGAAATGGGTTAGCAAACAGACCAGGGCAGGAGGGGGCTACAGATCGCACCAGGCAGTCTGTGCAATAGAAAAGCAGAGAGGAATGTTGTAACGAAATCCTAACTAGAGGCTGGCCAGCTGGCTGGCCCCATCCACGTCCCTCTGCCTGGTCTCCTCTCTGTAGATATCTGGCACTGTTACAGAGAGGGGCCTTTCAGATCCAGCGGGAAGAGCTGAGAGAGCTCTGCTGGGAGGAGGGGGAGCTGGAGGGGCAGAGCTGTGCTCCCGGCAGGGCTGGAGGAGGGGGAGGAGATGCGCAGGGAAAGGCCTCGGGGTGTTGGGTTGTGTGTTTTGTATCTGATTTAATAAACTGTGCCCTGCAGCAAGGGCCTCCGTGAGGCTGGGTATGGGCTGGGGAGAGAGGCTGCAGCACCCCACAAGCCCCTTGGTTCTCAGTGTCCCGGCCATTCGAAGGCAAACGCAAGAAGCCGTCCCACCTTGGTGCCACATTTCACTCTCTCTTCGTTCTTTGCCAGGGAGCAGAGAGTGACCGGAATCATTGTCTTTGTCCTGACTGGGATATCTGTCTTCCTGGCGCCAGTCCTGAAGGTACAAATTCCTCTTTCTACTTCACACACGGTTCCTCTCTGCTCCGTTTGCTGAGGAAAGCCCCTGGGCGCTGTAGTTCGAAGGAGGACACGCAATTGGAGCTACACACGTTGCGTATCTTATTTCGATCTTATTTTGAAATTGCTTATTTAATACCCCCAACTTAAACCTGTCCAACACATTATCAATAAACTACAGCCTATATTGGAACAGGATACCATACTCAAAGAGGCTCTGGGAGACAGACCCATAGTCTCCTATAGACAACCACCTAACCTCAAGATGATTCTTACCAACCACCACAGGACATACCACACTAATACCAACCCTGGTACCTTCCCTTGCAACAAACCCCGTTGCCAGCTTTGTCCACATATTCATTCTGCTGATACCATTATTGGACCTAACCAAGTGAGTTATAAGATCAAGAACACATATTCCTGCGCATCCAGAAATATAATCTACGCTATCATGTGCCGAAAGTGTCCGTCTGCTATGTACATTGGACAAACATCTCAGACACTTCGCCAAAGGATTAATGCCCACAAAACAGATATCAGACAAGATCACAAAGAGAAAACAGTTTCTTGCCACTTTAACCAGAAAGGACACTCTCTAAATGACTTAGCCACCTGCATTCTGCTACAAAGACCTTTTACATCTGCACTTGAAAGGGAATCCTCTGAACTGTCATTCATGTTAAAATTCGACACTTACCACCAGGGACTTAACAAGTCTTTGAACTTTCTCACCCATTATCAAGACAGTTTCCCCAATTATCACCTGTAATACCATTAACTCACAAACATCCCACTCTCCCTACCTCTAATATCATCAATTCACAGACACTTACCTTCCTTCCTCCCCCTTCCCACCCCCCCGCCTCCTCCTTCTGTTCTGCAATGTGATTTGTCCTTTTCATATTTGTTCTTTTTTTTAATTGTATCCTTTGGTATATATGGTTGTGACTACTTTCTTCCACTATTTGATCTGAGGAAGTGGGTCTGGCCCACGAAAGCTCATCATCTAATAAACCATCTTGTTAGTCTTTAAAGTGCTACATTGTCCTGCATTTTGCTTCAACTACCCCAGACTAACACGGCTACATTTCTATCACTATCCTAATAATAATAAAACTCACCTAATTAGAAAATACCAGACATTTTATATGTCCGGTATTTTCTTAATTTTTTTCCCAGACAGAACCCTCAAATACCCGACTGTCTGGTTCAAAACTGGACACCTGGCACCCCTATTTACAGGGACATTGGAATCGTGAGTCTGAAGTAACAGGCTTGCTATTAAGATGTGGGATAGCTATGTCAGGGTGCTCCGGTATCCCGAAATAGCGTTGCAGTGTAGATGTAGCCTCAGTGTTCAGATATTTATACAGGACACCAAGCAGAATCCAGGCCAGTGAGGAAACAGTGGCCCAGTTGGATATTGTTGGGTTACAGTGGAAAGCTCTGATTATTTTGCTTTCTGGGTAACTGCCAGAGAAGGCAGTGTATTACCGCACGCACTTGACCTCAGCCTGGCTCCCGTTCCATTTTGACCCTTTCTTGAAAGGGACGAACGTGGCCTCTTTTCTTGTGAAGTCACTGAGGACTCTCGTAGGCTGCTCTGAAGTCCACCAATTCTGTGTGCTTGTTTTCCCTCTGCTTGCAGTACATCCCTATGCCGGTGCTGTATGGGGTCTTTCTCTACATGGGAGTTGCCTCTTTGAACGGCATTCAGGTAAGACCTTATCCTGCTCCTGATCTTGTTCCCGTCATGTGCTGCTACCTTCTTCCCAGTCACCATCTTCATTCTGTTTATTCCCCTTTGACAAAACGGAATCATCGGTACGAATAGGCTGGCTGCCGAGGAAGGAATAGACCCAGCTGTCATCCTATGTATTGCAAAGGGCAGAATGGGGTCCTTCCAGTTGCTGGAGAGAGAGTTCTGTAGGCTCTGTGCACTGAGAGGAAAGGGGATACACTCCTTGGCTATGTCTACACTGCTGGCTTTTGCTGGCAGAGAGTATGCAAATGAAGCACTGATTAGCATTTTGTCACACTTCATTTGCATAATCTATTTGATCCACTTTTGCGCAAAAACAAGCAATGTGGATGTTCCCTTTTTGGGCAAAAACCCTGAGGGAGGCCGAAGGATCTTGCACAAAAAGGGGGGTTTTGCACAAAACGGAAATGTCCACACTGCTTGTTTTTGCGCAAAAACCCCTTGCACAAAAGTGGCTCGGATTGATTATGCAAATGAAGCACGACAAAATGCTAATCAGTGCTTCATTTGCATACGGTCTGTCAACAAAAGCTGGCAGTGTAGACAAAGCCCTTTGGACCTCTGCCTGTCTTAGGGTTTGGCACCGTGGCCCAATAGCCTAGTCAGGGTCGTCCTTAGGACGTGTTGAACCCTGCACAGTACTGTTAAACCCGTGCCCCTATCCCCAATGGCCGCCGGAGGAGAGGGGGGATGACGTTTTAGAGTCGTGTTTTTATTATCTTCAGCAACGCACTGTTCTTTAAAGCAAATTTTTAATTGAGATTCTGTCGACGAACACAGCAAATTCCAAAACGGACAGCATGTACCTGGGGTTGGCGAATGCCGGTGCCGTGGCTTCGTTGCCACTGGAGGGGCTCTTCTGCAGGTTCAGTGTTCTGTTAATTGCTCTGCCAGGCCTTGTCACGTTCAAGTTCTAGGTGAACTAGCTCCTGTCCGGAGGAAGTGAAGCCACAGAGCAGAAATAGGAAGAGGTAGGTGGGTAGAGATTAAGACCCAGCGGTGCCCCAAATTTTCAGGTACCCTACGCAGCTACATATTCTGGTAGAGGGAAGGACGGCCCTGCGCATAGTATCCATGTCAGGGAGATGGGTCAGACAAGAGTGACTCTCAGGGCCTCTCTGGATCTTTGTCCTTTCTGAGTTGTAGAAAGTGCTCTAACGGGAGAGGGCTGGGGCTGAGGTGATGAATGTCATTCTGCTTATGCTGGAAAAGCAGTTTCTCAAATCCCTCTTCCCATCAGCCACCTGATCCACCCCTCCCCATCAGCTGCAGACGCACGTCAGGAAATTGACATGGCACCTGGAGCCTGAGCAAAGGCCCTAGGAGCTGCAGGGCGATTGAGTTGACCAGACATGTGGTGTATTGCCTGACGGGTGCAGGGCTGTTCCTGGAAAGGAGAGGCTGAAATGGAATCAGCCCATATTTGAAATGACTAACATGGTTGAGCTTGGGAAGAGCCTTTGGCTCAGTATCAAGAACTGGCCATGCGCCCGCCAGTCGGAGAACATTCTGGGCTGTGTACCACGGAGGCAGCAAAACCCTCCATGGGAATCTCCCCCACTGTGGTCTCTGGCCACGACCCACCTGGGTTTCCCTCCAGGCTCAGTAATCCAGTTCTCATTAATGCCTCCAGCCAAAACTTGGTGTCAGAACACAAATGTGCCAGTTCTTGTGGGGCTGATTCCATGGTGGGGAAGGGAGTGAGGAAGTCGGAGGGGAGCTGCTCTCCGGATGCAGGATGCACAGCGATTTCTTCAATGGGAGCTAGGATTTCTGACGTTTTAACCCAACAGATAATTACCGTTTGTACACCGGGGGACTGAGTGACCCCGGCTGCGGTGCCACTGACTGTAGCGGTGTTACCAGAAAGGGATTTGGCCTGCTGAGTTTTAATCACTTTTTATGTTTTGTTGTTTGTTTGTTTGAAATGAAGGTTAAAGCTACATTTAAGCTGGAGTCAGGCTCCGAGTTAATATGGTCTGATGAACTTCAGAAACTATTTTAAGACGGATGGAGTAGCTTTAGCTCCCAGGATCCTAAATCCACACGGAAGGATTTGTTTATGGAAAGCACAGCACAGAGCAAACAAGGAAAGATCATTTGCCTGGCTAATGCGTTGTATGATTAGGACATAGGATTTCCAGAGCAGGCTCAGCTCCTGTGACCAGTACCTTCCTCCAGCCCCCTCCCTCAGCCAATAATTCACTTGGCTGGGCATGCAGTCATACGTTTGGCAGGGCAGTAAACAGGGCTGGGATTCCTTCCTGACCTCTAGCATCACACAGAATGTGCCCTGAAACATTAGGTCTAATGAGCCAGGCTTAACATGCGTAGCCATAGACTGGATGGGTTCGGGGGCTTTCTCTTCTACCCGTTGAGAGCAGAATGTGTGAAAGACAAAGAGCTGAACTAGTTCAGAAGGCATCACCGTGGGGTAGCTCTGTGACCCATGCAGGGCAGGAGGTCAGACAAGCTGTTCATTGTGGTCCCCTCTGGCCTCGGAAGCTGTGGGTCTGTGTAACAGCCCCTGGGTCCAGATCTGAAGCCAAATCCCCCGGTGGGAAATTTGCCCCATTTGGCCCACTTTGCCCATTTGATCCCTGCAGCTCTCTCCTCTCCAGCCAGCACTGAGCACTTGACTTGGCTCATTTCAGAACCAAGCCCAGCTCCGCCCGCGGCAGGGCTGGAGCATAATGTGCTGCTGCTTTTTCCTGGCAGTTCTGGGACCGCTGCAAGCTCTTCCTGATGCCGTCCAAGCACCAGCCCGACTACGTCTTCCTTCGCCACGTGCCCCTGCGGCGGATCCACCTCTTCACCATGGTGCAGATCATCTGCCTCGCCATCCTCTGGATCCTGAAGTCAACTGTGGCGGCTATCATCTTCCCTGTGATGGTAGGGCCTCCTTACTCATGCTGGGGTGCCTTGGGACAGCTGGGGGAGGGGGGCAAGAGGGAGGAGCAGCTGGAGTCCTCATGCAGTCTCCTCTGCCCTGTATCTACTCGGGATAATGATCACTGATCTCCTTAGAACCATTGAATCCTAGGGTTGGAAGAGACCTCAGGAGTCATCGAGTCCAGCCCCCTGCCCAAAGTAGGACCAACCACAACTCGATCATCCCAGCCAGGGCTTTGTAAAGCCGGGACTTAAAAACCTCTAGCGATGGAGATTCCACCCCCTCCCTAGGGAACCCAGCCCAGTGCTTCCCACCCTCCTAGGGAAATAGTTTTTCCTAACATCCAACTTAGACCTCCCCCACTGCAACTTGAGATGGTTGCTCCTGGTTCTGCCATCTGACACCACTGAGAACAGCCTCTCTCCATCCTCTTTGGAATCCCCCTTCACGGAGTTGAAGGCTGCTCTCAAATCCCCTCTCACTTTTCTCTTCTGCAACTAAGGGTATGTCTACGCTGCAGAGTTTTTATGGAAAAATGGCTGCTTTTCCAAAAAAAACCTTCACTTACGTCCACACCTCTTTCGGGAAAAGGCGTGTGTGGACGGGGAAGAGGGAGTTCTTTCGAAAGAAGAGGAAAGAAGAAAAAGCACAGGTGCCCCGGTGGCCACTCCGTCCATAGTAATCACAGCTTAAATGCGATTGTGTGTCCATTCAGTGTGGATGCTCTCTTTCAAAAAAGCAGATCACTTTTTCAATGTATTTTTACTGTGTAGATGCTCTCTTTTGGAAGACTTTTTTTTGGAAGATCTCTTCTGGAAAAGCTTCTTCCGAAAAAAGCCTACAGTCTAGACATAGTCTAAATAAGCCCGAAATAGAAACATAAGCATTAAGGCAGCAGGTTTGTTTTCATGAGTGTCAAAAGCCGCCTCTCTGCTGGTCTTCCTGGCCTCTCCCTAACTTTCTGCCCTCTGCAGAGAACAGCTTAGCCTCCTAACTCAGCCAGGAGTTAGAACTCAAGAGCTTATCTTCCTGGAGCGTCACGCTGCCATGTCTGGGAGATGGCTTTGAGGTGCCAGCATGAGGTTGGACATGCCTTGGTGCGAGTCCCTTTGGCCTTTCTCATGCAGATACATTACGTTTCCTGTGGGGGGAGTGTTTCGTGTGAGAACTAAACAAACCCCGGTTCTCCCTGGGGTGCCCTTCTCCCCTGTTCCCCCCTTTCCACCAGCTTGTCGTGGTGCCCTTCCCCCCTGTTCCAGTCCTGTAGCTCAATGCGGAGTCTGGCCCGTTTTGTTCAGTGGAATCCAGTCACGAACCTGGATCTACTCCGGACGCTTTTGCCGCAGCTGTTCAATCTGTCTCCCTTTCCCCCTTAGATTTTAGCCTTGATCTTAGTGAGGAAAATGCTGGATTTCGTCTTTTCCCAACACGACCTGGCCTGGATTGATAACCTCATCCCTGAGCGGGAGAAAAAGAAGGAAGACGACAAGAAGAAGAAGAAGAAAGGCAACAAAGGGGAGGACAACAGCGAGGATGAGGTGTGTCCATGCTTGGGTGGAACAGCAAGGGGCTTACACTTCATTCCCGCTAAGAGGTTAACGTTAATGCCCAGATACCGCCCTGGGGATTTTTCCACTTGCACTGCAGTGCTGTGCTGAAAAGTGGCTTTGTTAAAACAATACCGTCAGGCTCCATGTGTATCATTGTGGCTCTGTGCCTCAGTTTCCCTGAGGCATGGAGGGAGTAGGCCAGCTTTGTAATGTGCTTTGAGACCTCCTGAGGAAAGGTGCTTGGTAAGAGGTCGGTCGTATTCTTATCGTCGCCTTGATTTCCAGAGTCAGCGTGCTCATCTGCTTGGGCTTTTTTTTTTTTTTTTCCAACCTGCCAACTCTGGCAAATGGGAAATGAGAGTCCCGCAGGGTTTTCTTGCCCATCTCCCAGGAATAAAGCTTCTGCAAGTTGCATTCTGCCCTCACTGACACCTGGACAGTCCTTCAAGGGAGACACCCAAATGCAGCTCATTGCAATGTGGAAGACAAGTCTGTGGCTGATGCAGAAGGAGCAATACAATCCAGCTCCCTTCCTCAGCGGGGGTTGGCTCCCGAGGGAGTCAAAATCAGTAAATACCTATTTCGAGTGGGATAAATTGAGCAGGGTTGCTTCAAACACATACAGGAGCAGGATGACTAAGGAGGTGCCATCTCTTACACAGTTGAGTCCCAGGGCTTTCCAAACGCTGTGGGCTACCAAAAAAAATCCTAGGTTTAGGGAATCCATTATCCCCACAGTGATCCAGCAACTGTTAGTGCTAATGACAGTCTTGCCCGTGTTTTAAGGGATGTGCATAATAGACGCATGTAGCCATGCTAACAAAATGCCAGTCGTAGCCTTGAAATCCGCAGCAGAGTCACTGATAGAGAATGGAACCCCCTGCTGTGGATTCTTCTTCTGACCATATCTCTGAGATAACTGAGATTCCAGCAAAGGATTTTTAAGGCAAAATGCAACAGTGACTCACCCTACTTAGCATGATATAAATGGAAGAGAAGGGGGGGAACGAAGATCTGATGGCTGGGAAAACCTGTCAGTGGACGACCAAGAGCAGAAAAGACTATTGGGAACGTAACATAAATGAACCTCTCCAATTATGCCATCCCATAAAAGGGAGAGTCACAAAAGGCCGTCGGCACCCAGTTTCCACTGGAGTTGGGCCCCGAGTCTGCTGTTTGTGGCTGCCCATCGTCAAGTTTGGGAAGGGTGAAGGAGAGCGCCTAATGGGGCCCTGATTCAGGACAGCACTGAGGCACGTGCTGAAATCGTTTTGACTTAAGTGCTGTCTTGAATAAGGGGCCTCGGCAGTTTTGGGATAAAGGATGATTCCAGATGTTTTGAGTGCTGCGTTCAGTTTTGGTCACCTCGTCCTCCAGATCTAGCAGCTAAAACGATTAGAAGGGACTTTGGTGAGAGGGAGACTCATGAGGTTAGGATAGTGCACTCAACAAGCCACACACTGAAAGTGAGAAGGACTTGCTTAGTTAATTCAACCTGTGGAACTCACCTCTGCAAGGCCGTGTTAAAGCAATTGTCTCAATAAGTCAAAGGAGGAGGCATTTATATGACTAAAAGTAGCAGTGACTGGTGTACTGCTAGCTGAGATAAAAGGGCCAGCAGGGCTTATGCTTTTGGGCATAAACTGATCACCAAACTCCTTGTGTGGGGTTTTCTTGTTTTGTTTTTTGTTTTCGTTTTTGTTAAGTCACCAGATGAAATTTTGTAGACGCGTCTGAGTGCTACAAATTCCAGGGTTTATTTCCCCATTGATACAGCGTCTCTCTTCACTGCCTACCTTAAACAGATGCACAGCGTTCATTGTTAGAGCTGCCACGTTCCCTCTCCTCCAGAGCTGGCTGCATTTTCTGAAGGGTGACTTCTGTTCATAAGCGGGTCTTATTTATTCAGATATCTCTGACCCAGAAATCTTGCTTATTCTAATCTTAAATTATGTCCCCTTATGTGAATTATTTACCAAGTAATTGAACCCTCCTATCCAAACCCCTTGTTTAGCAAGATGTTTCTGATATCCCCAAAGCATTTCTCATAAATGGCTTTGACCATAATTTAGGAAGGCCTGTGGGATCCTTTAACATGGAAGGTTTGTTAGAAAAGTAAGCTACTGTTATGGGCAGGCATATGTTGACCTGATTAATATTAATTGGTGCTACTGACGCTGATCATTCCGCCATGCAAACAGATAAAAAGATGTCTAGGCTGGGATTTTCAATGGGAACTGGGTACACAGTCTCTTAGATTCCTTTGAAAATCTTGGCCTTCTGCTACATGCATATGAGTAATTTATTTCATGCTGAAGGATGTCAACCTGTGGAACTCCTTGCCAGAGGATGTTGTGAAGACCAGGACTTTAACGGGGTTCAAAAAAGAACTAGATACATTCATGGGGGTTAGGTCCATCAATGCTTATTAGCCAGGATGGGTAGGAATGATGTCCCTAGCCTGTTTGTCAGAGGCTGGAAATGGGTGATCGGAGAGGGATCACTTGATAATTACTTGTTCTGTTCATTCCCTCTGTGAGATCTGGCATTGGCCCCTGTCGGGAGACAGGACACTGGGCTAGATGGACCTTTGGTCTGACCCAGTGTGGCCTTTCTTAAGTTCTTATCTCTGTATTTTCATGAGTATGAGCATGAGTATGTTTTCAGGCATGCGAACCCCGGACGTGTCTGTATGAATCAATGTTTTCACTGTCTCTTCCCACTTTTTTCCCAGCCTCGGTTCCCAACTCCCTCAGTTATAAAGATCCCAATGGAACCCGTCCAATCAGACCCCCAAAACGGTACCCGTTGCATTACCAGTAAGTACAGCACTTAGGTTCTGTCTAACCTCTGCTATTTACTAACCCTCAGCTCCTCAGTCTAGTCTGTGACTAATCAAAGTAACTCACTGCAGGTGCTTGGCTTGTTTGGAGGCTGTGGATATGTGTAAATAAGAGATCTGCAAACAAGCTTGAGGAAAAGAACATACACACATGGGTCCATCAGCTGCTTTGGAGAGCTAAACTTGATTTCGAAATTGTTTTGCTGCTGAAAACTCCATATTCTGGATTAGGCATGCCAGAAACCTCTCACAAGAACCTGTTCCTCTGGGGTTACCAGCCCAAGGGTGGGTTAAGAACCAGGAACGCTGTAGCACTAATCCTGGCTCTGCTACTGAAATACTGTGTGTCCTTGGGCAAGTCATTTTACCATAGTGATGGGTGCACTTACCAGCACATGGACAGAGAACAAACATTCTTACGCCTGTTTCCCCATATGCAAAGATGCAAAGGATAAAGCTTTAGCTACCAAATGGCGGTGGGATTTAGGGAAAGGGATGAGACTTGATTAGTTAATGCGTGGAAAGTGTTACATTTGCAAAGTGACAAGAGCTGCTTGCTGCTGTTAAAATGCCAGATGGCTTGGGATTCAGGAGCCCTGGACTCTAGGATGTCAGGCAGGTGACAAGCTGCCCGAGGAGACTCTGATTTTGGCTGCCCAACTTCATGCACCTCCTGAAGGTGGCTTCCGAGGGTGCTGGGCATATGCCGAGCTCTGCAGGTACTCAGCACATGAAAAGACGTCTCTTTTGGGAAACGTTCACTCTATCTTCTGGGAGCCTCTCCCACTGCAGCATGGCACAGGAAGCAGAGATGGCCCGGGAGAATCACTAACCAAAGCTGCATGTGTGCACAATAGACACTGGATTCGTGTGCCTTTGGGTATGTCTACACAGCAAAGTTATTTCGAAATAACAGCCGTTATTTCAAAAACTTTCCTAGCATCTATACAAGCCAATCGCTATTTCAAAATTAATTTGAAATAGCGGAGGGCTTATTTCAAAATTTGTAAACCTCATTCTGCGAAGAATAGCGCCAATTTAAAAATTGCTATTTCTAAATAAGTGCTGTGTAGATGCTTATTTCGAAATAGGGGGCCTACAGCCCTTCCCAGGGTGCCCTGCTAGCCATCCTGGCCACAAGGTAACTTCTGACCTGATCCTCTGCCGGAACCTGCCCTGGGGTTCCAGCTGGCCTTAAATGCATTTCAGCGTCCAATCAGTGTGGACGCACTATTTCGAAATGCATTTTGTGTGCAGATGCGTTATTTAAAAATAAGATATTTTGAAATAACACTGTAGTGTAGACATACCCTCCGAAAGACACCTGTGTTAATAGCCTTTCCTCTCTGCCGTCTCTCCTGCCCCAGGCTACAGCAGGTCAGAGAGATGCTTGAGTCTTTAATTGAAAGTTTTATCTGGACGCTTGGGTAAAGGGGCTGGCTGGTTTGGAGCATGGCCTTTCTCTGGGGGAGACTGGTGGAGAGCCAGAGCTTGCTCCAGAAAGTTCCCAAGATCTGCTCCAAGAGTCAGAAAGGTTCAGCCTCAGCAATGCTGGTAGCTGCAGCCGTCCCTCTCGTAAGGGAGAGGGCTGGAGGCGCAGCGCGTGTGGCCAGTTACTAGCCGTGCACGTAATGGAAACTGGCCACTCAGCTGGCACGAGGGGAAGGTCTGGGCCCAAATCCACTGGGCCAGATTCTGGGGTGGAGTCTGAGGACTCAAAGCCGGCGTGATTGACTGTCTGGTCTCCTGGGGGTGTGAGTGACACCTTCTTCGACTCACCCGCTTCGAATCCCTTCAGCTCCAGGAGCAAAACCCAGCAGTGGGGATGTCTGGGGAGTGTTAAAAGTTGCCCATCAACACATCTGACCATCTGAGGTTGGTGTCGGTTGCACGCAGTCGAAGGCATAAAATACACCCGTTCTAAATTCAGTTACTGTTCTGACTTTGGCCCCTCACGTTTGTCCGATCCACCCCATCCCATGAGGTTCCCCTGCCGTCAGCCAGGTGGGAGTGGAACTTCTCAGAACCGATCAATTCTTCCACACAGCGGCCTCCTGACTCATGGGCTGTCCCCGCTTTTGATGGGATATTGGGGAGGAGACAGAAGTGGTCAGCATCCACACCCGGTTCGCTGTAGCTGTTCTCCGGTAGGGTCCCTTCTCTTTTCTCTCATGGTTGTCCTATGGGACAGTCTGTGATGGGGTGTCAAACAGGCAGAAGTGCTTAGGGTGACAATTCCCAAGGAGATTTGGACACTGCTCTGCCTTCGGCTGCTTTGAAACCCTTCGCCCTAGCACTCACTTCTCTGCCGGAAGGTGAATTTAGACTTGACATTGCCAGCGGACTTCAAGCTTTGTCCCAATGGTTACCCGTGTCTAGCTCCCATGGCCTAGATGAAGATTCGGGATATTTCTGGTTTCCATAAAGAGTCCTGCTTCCTAAGAGCAATGAGGTTCCCAGATCTGTTCTCCAAGGATGAAACCCACTGGTCCATCGTCCTTCTCGGGTCACAGAGGCACTTGATTCTCATTTTCACTGCAAGCCTTGTAGAGAGACATTCGACTGACCGGTGGACTGGCAGTGGGATACACAGGCCCGATTCACTCTAGGGGACAGAGATGCAGCCTACACTGTAATGCAGAGTTGATACCATCTAGGGGTGCTTTGTGGCTTAGGAGAGGGATGTTAGGAATCTCCGTCCTGTTCCACGTGGATAGATACCAGGCTCATGCTTGGCCCATTCGCTTATTGGCAATGGCAGCAGGTGACATCCTTGTATTCTTGAAAGACACCTATGAATGGCCCTGCTATTGATCACAGCGATGGATTTGGGCCCTGTGCATCGGAATTCCCTTTCCCTGGGTTTGAGACACGTGCTTGTCCTTTGTGGTTCTTCTGCAAGAGGATCCCAGCAACCCTGCACTTGGGTGGACAGATTGAACCTAAGGTCTAGAGAGTTGGGATTTTGTGGTAAGCTGGTGGATTTATTTTTCCTGATTGTGGGGAAACCAGTGCCAATCCTTGGGGAGAGTCCTGCTCCCATTGCCATCCAGGAGAGGTTTGCCACGGATTTCAATGGGATTGAGGTTTGTCCCCCAGAATTGAGCACTTACGTGATTTAGGAGCCTAACTGCTATTGACTCTGAGTGCCATTTAGTCTCTTGATGCCAAAAGCACTTTTGAAAATGGGACTGGGGCTCCTAAGTCACTTAGGCGCTTTTGAAAATTGCACCCTTGGACCCTGCATTTACTAACTCACAGAGATTCGCCCCTTTTCACTTTTTCTCTAGTTTTTTGGTTTTCTTATTTTTGTGCTCCAGATTCACAGTTTTCAAAGCAGTTGCCCAAATTAAACTCTCTCATCCCACATTTTACCCCCTCGACAATAGTGACCTGATTTTCAGAGTTTCGGAGCACCCACGAATCCCATGGAAGTCCATGAGCGCTCCTCAACATTTGACCTGGATTCCTAAATACTTATTTAGGGGCCTAAATGTGCACACTCAGGCTCAAAAATGTTGGGTTAGAAATTGAAAAGGAAAAAAAAACATGAATCAAAGATCTTATGAGAGCTAAAAGCAGAAGATTTCTGGATCCCTTTTGCCTCCGGGGATGTTTTCCAAAGGCTCCTAGCCACTCGTTGGAAAGTTGGATGTGTAACTCCCTTTTATGCCATTGCCACTGCCCCCGCCCTCCGTTGGTGCCATATTCATTTCAAAGTTCAGTCGTTCCAGTGATTTTTTTTCCTCCCACCAGTTAGTGGGTGGGGAGAGGTGACCATGCAAAGTTCACTGACCTTCATGGTTGAGATCTCAAGGCTGCTGGAGTTTCCATGGGGCTGCTTCCTGCACGCCCCCAGCTGTACAGTGATGCTCCCCTCTAAATGGGATAGTCCTGGGGGATTGCTCTTTTTTTGTTTGGTTTGGTTCCTTCCTCACCCTGAAACGGTTTCATGTGCATCTGTGTTTCCCTCCAGGAAAGAGGTCCTCCAGCTGGAGCTTTGCGTTCTGATTCCTCTCCTAACGGTTCAGACCTGGATCGCAGGTAAATGGCATTTCACAGGCACCTCGTCCCTTCCCCTGTTATAAGCCCGACCCCGCCATTGCTAGTGTCAGGCCCCTCCCCGGGCGCAAGCTCTGAGCAGGAAGAAGAATTGGTTAAGGCAACAGGTGAAGGTCTGATTAGGAGTGACGGGCAGAAATGGAGGAAGGGAAAATTCAGGCTGATCAGGAGGAAGAAAAATTCTAACCCACAGCTCTGTGGGTACAATTCACCCTCGTGCAGAGAGCACGTGCTCCATTTACATCATCACGGTTTAAAGGGTGTGAAAGGCTGGGGCTTGCTTTCTCTAAGGCCCAGTTATGGGTAGATACAAAATTGGCATCTGCAAAAATGATCTGTGGATATAAAGCAGATGTCGGCAAACATGTAGGGTTCTAGACACAAAATGTGTGTCTGCATTGGCAAAAATGAGCCGTGGATATCTGCAGCCACATCCGCGGATGCGGATACCCACGGGTATAAAGCAGATATCTGTGGATTCACGGGGCAATAGTTACAGGTGTGTCTCCACAGCAGCTACAGCGTATACTTGCAGCTTGCACTGATGTACAGCTTGAATCTAGCGAGTTTGGATACCAGAGCAGCCAAGTAGCAGCAGCAGCACGGGCTGTATCCATCTGCATCCCTGGATAAGTCCCGGAGTGGCCAGCCCATACTAAAGCCAGCTGTGTTACAGTTCCGTTGTTCCAATACCCAAGCAAACTAGATTAAAGCAAATGTGGGTGTGTCTGCACAAATTGCAATAATTCCCCATCACTGATGGAGGGATGTGCCTTAAAGAGGATCAATATCCTCTCAGAGGCAATGGTGTCACTTAAAACCAAGCTAGACAGAAGCACTGTCTGCAGGAAGCACTGTTCAGCCAGCTGGTTAGGCTAGAAAACAGACTCATTTTAAAGATCTAAGAATCTCTCCAGCCCCATATCATGCCTGATGGTGCTTGAATGGGCCAACAAGCTGTAAGTCTGCTGGAGAAGCGATGACTGAGTTTATTGGGGGTTGGATGTGAGTGTGTCTGTGAATCGCACCTGCTAATAACAAAAAGTAGGAAATAAAAGGCCCTGAGAGTCTCTGTGTCAGACAATCACTTGCCATCAGACCACGCGTATGATGCAAACTGAGAAAAGCCAACGTGGAGGTTCACCTGGTCGCCGGTTCAAATCCAGCACAGGCTGTTGCTGTCGGCTGGCCCTGTGGCGCCCATATTGGTGGTGGGGGGGGGACTCAGTCTGATTTCAAACCTGCCAACAGAAGTGACATGAATTGGCCCCTTCACTATAGAGAAGCCAAGGACTGAGCTTCCATCTCTTGTGCCGAGAGGGAACATGATAACTTTCACATACGTAAAAGGGTGTTACAAGGAGGAGGGAGAAAAATTGTTCTCCTTGGCCTCTGATAGGACAAGAAGCAATGGGCTCAAAGTGCAGCAAGGAAGGTTTAGGTTGGACATTAGGGAAAACTTCCCAACTCTCAGGGTGGTTAAACACTGGAGTAAATTGCCTCGGGAGGTTGTGGAATCTCCGTCTCTGGAGATTAAGAGCAGGTTGGACAGAGACCTGTCAGGAATTATCTAGATAATACTAGGTCCTATCAGGAGTGCAGGGGACTGGACTTGATGACCTCTCAGGGTTCCTTCCAACCCTATGATCCTATGACTTTGCTTACCTGTCACAGTTATCAGATAGGTATGCCTGTCAGCATTAAATTCACAATACCTACAAAGAAAATGGAGATTGTTCCTGTGCGCGCTGCGTTTGTAGTCCCTGTTATCGGGATTTTCTTTCTCTGCACAGGGTTTTGCAGTCCTTTCCCATTGCAGTATGCAATGTGACTCTGTCATGATTTACAGACACACACACACAGACATTAAAAGGGAGTCAGCGGGAGCTAAAGATATGACATTGGTCTTGAATTCAGATATTTCTGGCTTGCAGCTTTTGTTCTGCGCAGTTCCAAATATATGTCATTGGCTAGATTCTTAAACACTATGTCTATGTCTGCATTGCATCCCTCTTGTGCAAAAGTCTATGCAAATGAAGCACGGATTAGCATATTGCCACACTTCATTTGTGTAATTAATCAGGTGCCATTTTTGCGCAAAAAGGAGCCGTCTACACAGCTCCTTTTTGTGCAAAAACCCCCTCTTGTGCAAGAGCTGTTCTTCCTGAAAAAATGAGGAAGAACGGCTCTTGTGCAAGAGGGGGTTTTTACGCAAAAAGAAGCTGTGTAAATAGCTCCTTTTTGCGCAAACACCTCTTGTGCAAAAACGGCACCTAATTAATTATGCAAATGATGCATGGTAATATGCTAATCTGCGCTTCATTTGCATAGGTTTTTGCACAAGAGGGATGCAATGTAGACATAGCGTATGAGTCAAAATTCAGCCCTGAAGTCACTCCAGTGAGAACAGTCAAAGTCTGTTCCTAAATATTACTCATCTTAAAGATGGGATGGAACTTGTATTTAAATTAGTTGGGCTCATTGTTTTGGGCTTTAATTGCCATTCAAATGGAAATTAGGCTTTAAAGCAAATCAAGATCCCCCATGCATTGCCAAAGATGGCAGCTTTGCATTTGATGCATGAGATCCAGAAGGTGAAATTGATCAGAGCCTGTTAGCAAAAGTGAAATTGATGAGAATGTCTTCATTAACCAAAATGAGAGCCACGCAACAAGGGTGCAAATTAGGTTATTTTTTTCTTTCAAATTTCATAAATGAGCAGACTTAGCCATTTTACTGGAAACATTTTCAGCCCCCTCTTGTCTCTCCCTACGTACCCCAGCAGCCAAGGAACAATTAAAAGCCAGCCAGCCAATTGAGCACTTTGTGTATGCCCTTTGTCCTCCCTCTAGACCTGGCCTGATCAGAGAGGTGTCTGTGCCACATATTGGATGCTGTCTAGAGGTTATTGTTTAGAACAAACAATGGGCAGTAGGGGGCAGCAGTTAAGCTTTGGTAAGACTATAATCATGGAACATTTTTGCCAGCTTTAGGTATTACATTGGTGCAGCACATTTGCACTAGAGGTTTGCAGCTACATCTGTGCAAAAAAAATCAAACCATGTGAACCGTCTCACAGACTGGTGCAGAGAAGAGGAGAATTGGGCCCTATCACCAAAAGCTATTGCATTGTAAGACCGAGGCCAAGCAGCCTGGTCATTTAGTCACAACTGTTAGAGGCAGAGAGGTTAATGCTGCAAAGGATCACCTGGTCATCTAGTCTGTCCTGAATGTCACAGACCACCAGTGCTACCTAGCACCTACCCTAGTCATTCATTACAACCTTAATCTTTAGCATCTCTTGCTATGTTGGGCCATTCCTGGGATTTCTCCCGAGCTCGATCCATGCACCTCAGTTCTCATTTGTGGAACCCCCTGCTGTGCCAGGCCAGGGCACATTCTACAGATCTTGGCGCTGTCCTGCAGCACATCTGCAATGCCAGTCCAGTAAGGGTTTGTTATTGCCACAGCAGATCTGCCAATAGCATAGGAGGTCATGGCAGACCATGTTGCCACAGCAGATCTGACGTTTCAGAGAAAGGAGTGGGCGGAAGGGAAAGCCCAACTCCAGTGCACCTGAGTAGCTGCACATAATGAGGAAAAAAATGTCCTTCCTCCTCCTTCTGCTGCCGAGCACTGTAAAGCTGACGTAGCGAATTTCCCAGGCTGTCTGTGCATCTGGCACGTGCAGGTCATCTGGCATTTCTGCATCCCCCCTGGGCATGCAATATGTCTCCACTTTCCAAAGTGGTCCATGGAGCCTTCTCTGCTGTTCCTGCAGCTAACCTTCCCCTGATTGCTTTGCACACATGTCTCATCAGATGATGTAGTGGGGCATGTGGATGTTTTAGTGCAGTGTTTCTTAAGCTGTGTTCACCATGAGGCAGTCGGAGGTGTACCACTGAGAACAACAGAATTCAAAATGGCTGTCCTTAAAGGGACAGGCAACTTTTTTTTCTCAATAACGTAAGAAACACTGTTTTAGTGGGATGCGGGAAGCTCAAACGGCCAAGAAATCAGGTCAGATTCTAGACTGAATTATCAGGAGCCCAGCAAAAATTTTTGCCAGGAACTCTTGTTGGAGTAAATTTTCACTTGTGAAAATGCTAGTATCATGACTTCGCCAATATCCCAGGAAGACACTTTCTCCACGGGTTGTTTAGCACATCCGGTCCCAGAATGAACCCTGTAGACGCAACAGCAAGTAGCTCAGAGGTTGTGGTGTTGAACACAGTGTAAATATCTAGGGAAGTCATGATACCAATGCCTGGAGATAGTAGAATAAATACCTGGGTGTATGCCTGGATGTATACAACAGGGTAGATGGCTAGTTGAGTGTGAAACGCCCAAGAGAGGAAACAAGAAACGTGTAAAGATTATTTTATTAGGTACCAAAATGGTTTTTTTTCTTCTTCAAATGTGCGGTCTGAGTGCAAGGTGAAGATTTGTTCACATGAGCCTTCAACTCTCTGTGTGTGGTGCAGCAGGCATGTCTTGGAGGAATAGAATGGTGTTAAGAAGGGAAAGGGTTAGACTGAATACCCAAGAAGTGCTTCCCGGCTGTAAGATGTGCCAGGCTGGGGAAACCCTTCATGTGGGCCATTTGTAACTAGATTGCGCAGGGTACTAGGAAATACCCTGCAGGAAATAAATCTGCATCGGCAAAGGGGACAGACCTGCTCGTGCTGGCTCTGAGCCTTTCCTTGATGGCACTTCGGAGTTTGCACAATCGGACTGTGAATTCTCAGGAATCCTTGCTCCAATCTGTCGTTTCTAGTCATTTAAATTCTTAGTGGTACGTGTGGCAACCAGACGGCTGGATGGTGGGAGTTCGTTTTGAGAAGACCATACGCTTATTTGACCGAATAACCTGTGTTGCACTTTAAAGTCACGGGATTGTTGGACATCCGGGTGTGCTGTGTCGCTGCCTTTTGTCTCTTTCTAACTTACTCCTTACTCACATGATGGTTTTGACTCTGGTATTGAAATCTCTTCACTTCAGAGCACCTCATCGGCATAATAGCCGTACTGCCAGCCCCAGGCTTGTGAAATCATGAATTAGGCTTAAAAATCATGAGATTTTTAAAAATAATTTGGGGGGGGTCATTTTTTCCTTTCTGCTTTTAGGGTTGTAGCTTTCTTCCTTTTCTCCTCATCCATAAGTGCTACAAACCTACTCTCTAGTGTTAATGAAAGCTGAGTGGCTCACCTAATCACATGATTCCAAGATCTTGGGCTTAAAGAAAACCACCTGGCATCCAAGACTTGTAAAATAATCATGAGAGTTGGCAACACTGCAGGAGAAATTGAGCTCGAGCTCCCAAAATTCAGATCCAGGATTTTGATGGGACTTACACTAAATATGGCAGGCCATACACAGAGTTTGGATCTGGACTTGCCCTGGGCTATTTTGCCCTGGTAGAGGTACTGATGGGCTGGGTCACAGGCCCACTCTGTGTATTAGATGCAGTGATCATAAGAATAGCTATAGTGGGTCAGACCAAAGGTCCATCTAGTCCAGAAGCCTGTCTTCCGACAAGTGACAATGCCAGATGCCCGGCGAGAGTGTAAGATGAAGAGTGTGAGTCTGATGTCTCTAGGCCCCCCCTCCCCCGCCAAACTAGTACACGCCTCTGTGGGGCATTGGTCAGCTGGCATTCTCAGATGTATAGTGAGGGTTTATAGCATGCGTGTCTAGTCCTGGTGGTTCATGAAAGCACGTACCATGAAATGTTTAGTGATGCCTTGGCTTTTTTTTTTTTGGTTATCTATTTATCAGCCAGGCCTGAACACTTTCAGCACCACACTCCTGCTGGCCTCGGGTTTGGGTTCAGGTCTAATAATCTGGTTTAATGTGCACTTGCCTACCTGATATTTGCACCCAATTAAATGCATTTGTTGTATCTTCACTTTCCCTGTGCTCTGGCTAAAGTCTGAGGTTTTGTTCGCCATGGTGGAATTTCTCCAGTCCGTGATTCTTGCATTGTTGATTGTTTTAGTGCCTATGAAATCTTATCGCTGCTTGTTCTATGGTGAGAGTTTCAAAGGTAGCTACAGGACTTAGGAGCATGGGTCCTGTTGACTGTAGCCTAGCTATACTTTAATTTCGCCATAGGCCTATCTTTCAGGGGTACTGTGACAAAATGTGGCCTAATTTTCAAAAGTGCCTGATAAATTTGAAAGCCTTTTATTTATGGGTCCCAACTTGAGACACACACAGGACTTGACTGGCAGAGGAGCTGAGCATTGTTATTAAACCATGTGAGGAAATGTTTTTTTTAGGTTTGCTTCATAATCTGCTGGGTACCCTATTGCAAAAGAAGCAATAGCCCTTGAAATTCTGATTACATTTAATTTAACACCAGTTACTATCCTTATGATTTGACATGTATATCGTTTTTAACAGCTTGCTACATTATCTGTATTGTATCCTGCAGCTGTGAGTTCCACAGATTAAAATACATGGGCAAAGCATTTCCTTCTTTTAGTAGATTTCTGTACTTTTATTCCAGGCTCAGAAAACATGAAGCTGCTTGGAGGGGGAGAGAGGAGGTGTTTTTAAAAGACTTGAACATGAAGACTAATACATGAGATGCTTCATCTTTTCGGCTGTCTCTAGACTGCATCCCTTTTCCGTAAAAGGGATGCAAATTAGACACATCGCAATTTCAAATGAAGCGGGGATTTAAATCCCCCCTGCTTCATTTGCATAAAAATGGCTGCCGCTTCTTTCCGGCTCGGAGCTTTGCCGGAAAAAAGCGCCAGTCTAGCCGCGGATCTTTCGGAAAATAAAGCCTTTCTGAAAGATTCCTTATTCCTTATTTTAAGAGGAATAAGGGATCTTTCGGAAAAGACTTTATTTTCCGAAAGATCCACGGCTAGACTGCCGCTTTTTTCCGGCAAAGCTCCGAACCAGAAAAAAGCGGCAGCCATTTTTATGCAAATGAAGCGGGGGGATTTAAATCCCCGCTTCATTTGCAATTGCGATGTGCCTAATTTGCATCCCTTTTACGGAAAAGGGATGCAGTGTAGACACAGCCCACAAGTATAACTCTTAACTAATCCTCTCAATACTCTTTCTGCCTGCTTCCTTTACAGTATTACACTTCACCTGAAGATTTCCTGCCCATCGTCACCGTCACCTGCGTTTAGCTACTCCCGAAACCCTCTCTGTGCCGTGCCCCAGGTGAAGATCGAGATGGAGTCAGACTATGAAGACAGTGACACGGAAAAGCACCCTCGGGACATGGGCAGCGAGACCACCCTCTAGTCCCACCCAGCCCTCCCTTTGTGATGACATATACCTAAGAAAATCCGGCCTATTTTTCTAAGCGACAGACTGAGGAGATCATTGGTCCCCAGGACCCATTCCTCCATTAGCTTTTAGCATTATAAGTTAGAACTGCTGTGGAATTCCACCCCCTTCACTTGGGCCAAGAAACCAGCACTAGCTTCAGAGCAGTGCTAGGAATGTGGAACAGTGCTTGTGGACTCTGGCCTGGCAATAATAGGGGACATTAGACCCTGGGCAATTGCTGCTATTTTAACGGAGATGCTGAAGGCAGCAGGGCCAACTTCTTTCAGCATCTGGACACTGTCAGCACCCGCCATGGAGGGTCAAGCCTCTTTCCAGTGCAAGCTTCAACTCCACCACTCTCCATGTCCCTTTTGGCATTTAGTTTTCCCAAGGGGAGTTCTCAAATAAGCACCACCGTGGCCCATGCTTGCTCTGACATTCCATTGTAGGGGAGCAGGAGGAATTTCAGGGCTGTAAACTGCAGTTTATTGCACGAGGGGTTTTTTATACACCATCTGCAGCAAGTAATGTGCACCCCAGAGAAGTACACAAAACAGAGTTAAAGAGATTCCCTTTTTGAGAAGTTATGGAATGCTTAGAATCAAAGAGAACTCTGAAGTGGTAAACTTCCCTGGCTGATGCTTAAAGTCCAGCCATGGCCCTGTGAAACTGTTTCTCTCCTCCTTGCTGTTTTTTCTATAGGAATTCCAGGAGCACCTTTAAAGGGTCAGGATTGTAAAAAGATAAACTCAGTCACAGGCTCGTGCTGCCTTCTCTCTGAAGAAAACTGATCATTATACTGGCCTAAGCAGCCTTAGGGCATGCAACTCCTGTTTTTAATGGAGAAACTTGTAGGAGGTTGACAGGCAAGCCAGTGTCCAGAGCAGGAAGACTGAAAAAATTTATAATTGGTCACTGTGGCCCATCAGAGCTGACCCCACCCATGTCAGCACACATACTAGCAAGTCCTTTACAACCACAATATCACTAATCTTCAACCCTTTACCCTGCAGCAAGAGAGCATGTTCTACCCAGCCAGCCATACTTTTGCTCAGCCCAGCAACATACAAATTACTATCTGGAAGGTAAGAACCACTGGGAAATAGTTGGTTAATCCCAGGATTTGAGATAGATGGGACCTACCTGATTTATCCCATTCCCTTCCAGCACAGGCATGATCTAAACCATCACGGAGAAATCCACAGTTTGCAGTACTTATGATACATGCCAGAGCCAGCTGGGTGGCAGAACTTCCTGCTCTGAAAGCACAGGACCCTGCCACTTGAGTGAAAGAGGGAATCTCTGTTGGAATAACTCCTATAAACTATTGAGAATTTCTAATTGCATAATCTGCCCATCAGTAGCACCAGCAGTCCTGCTGGAAAGTGACTTACATGTCCCTCCTTGTCAGTTAACATTAATTCCTCATTCAAAAATCCTTAAATATTTTTTGAAATGTCAGATTGGGTTGCTGGCCTGTCCCCTCTCATGCTACTGAGAAAGAGGTAGCAACATGGGGATTGCTGCCAACTCAGTTAAGTGAAACCACAGGACTTGTGTTGTTGGAATTAGAAAGTTCCATACCTTGAGTGAAAGCAACCTTCCCAGTACTTTGCTTCAATGCAAGTGAAAAGTAGGGTAGGAAGGAGTTTAGTAAAATTTGGATGGGTAAGGCTTGCCGATCTGATCAAAGCAAATATCGTTTTAGTAGGCTGAAATAAAGAGAACAGTCAGTAGACTACAGTAGTGACTACCTTAGCTAACACTACTCAATGTCTAGAAGGGACAGCAATGTACATGTCCCAGTTTAGTCAGGGAAGAAAGACTACTGTGCTCAGAAAAGTTTTCTGGAGTTGCACATTTTAGCGCAGTAACTCCACCAATCTCATTCTTGATTAAATCAGCCTCTTGGAACATGTTAAGTTTTTCTTAGCTGTTCAAACTATAATGGGCAGTTTTTGGAAGTAGGCCCTTGCCTCTTGAGTGGTAGTTACTGATAAATTACTTCCCTTGAATTTTTTTTTCCCTTGAGACTGTCACTTTTGATTATCAATCCTCCCCTGCTTTCAAAAAATTAAGGGGCAGGAAACTTAGGCCCAAAGTCAGCTATTGCATTTATGTAAGTACAAAGCAACTTCAGGCTGTATTTGCATCACACTTTGATTCATAGCACCTTAGCTCATATCCTTATACCAACACCTCAGCCCTTGTTTTCCTCTGCAGTTGCTATAAACATGACTTGCACAAAACTGCCAGGTGGTGAGAGCTGGCTTGGCCTCCCCTCATTACAAGCTGGCTTTTAGAAGTCTATTTCAGATGTGAGTAGGTTTGCTCTGAAGGGCCTGTTACTATTTAATCCTTTCAAAACTGACTACTAGAAAGGTTTATATGGTACTGTACTGATACTCACACTTTAGTGCACTTTTCATAAAGGAAAACCACAAAGAATTTGCCTTGATGGTTTTAAGTAAAACTTGATTCTCAGAAAAAAAATGCTGTTTGAAAGCAAGTTCAAAAGGAAATGGAGAAAAATATCAAGCATTGAAGACTGCTACACAGAGGCAAAGGCCTCACTATAAATAATACATGTATGCATCTTTAGAGCTTATTTCAAGTTTGTCAGGAACAGGGCTCTACAAAAATGTCCACTCTACAGGGATTTCTGGAATGTTGAGTAAGTATTGCAACTGGTTTGAACCTTAGAATGAAATAGATGGTGGTTCTTTGTAAATATTCAAGTGAAGTCAAACAAAAGAAAACTTGAATTCCATTTCCTACTTTAGTATTTTCTAGTTTCAGTACCCAACAAGACTGTTTTTGAATGTGAGATTAATAAATCAGTATTATTCCAGTTGATAGTTAAGTGACAACCACTTAATTACATGTTAATGTAAAAAGTATTTGAACTTGAAGGTGGTTCTGTATATTTTCTAGTTTATTTTATAATCAATCTTGTCTGTGGTAGCTAACCCATGATAGGCTTACAACCTTAATTACTTTTTAAAAGGTTAATCTACTTTATGCAATGTCCATGCAGTTTCAATGTACAAAGCAAATTGAAAAAGCTTTGACGACTCAGTTAAGTTTCCATGTAGCACAAGAATGACTTTTAAATCAAGGACACTATTAAAGTACAGTATCAGTTGTTAAGCCCATGCAATGTCACATGCTGTTTACACTTTTTTGTATATGCAAGGTGATTTGAAGCATACCAGACTTGCAGACTACTTAGCTACGAAATACAGTAGCTATTTTATATTTCATTAATCCAATAAATCATTAAATCTTCTTCAGGTGTAATGTGTTCATGATAAACGTAGATCTCGACTGCCAGGATTTCACTCAAAGCAAGTTGTTGGGATGCTCTTTTGAGAAGACCAGTCTAGTGGAGAAGATGATGAAATCCAGGTGACACTAGTGTTTCCTGGATGCAGCAGCACACTAGCTTGCAGTTCTTGGAAGTAATCCCTGTTCCAACAGGTAAGGCAGCAGAGTTTTTTGCTCACAATGAAGGTCTCTCCCCCTCTTTCAGATGTAGCAAAAACAACAGGTTTTGTTTCCAAACTACTTTCTAGGGCACTTTGGTGTTTCTAGGGCAAAGCCTCATGACTAGAAAAACCTAAATCCATTCTCTGTATCTTAGATAGCATTCTGTATCTTAGTTAACGCTTACTATCTTTAGTGGCGTGGTAAGCTAAGAGTCCCTTCTGTAGTGATGGCATTAAAGAAGCTTTTCTGGAAATTTTGGTGTAATGCTCACAGAAGCAACAGAAACTGAATTTAACTACACTTGACTTCTGCTGCAGCAGCTCCAACTACAGCTGGCTCTTGTACTCAAACAAAGATGAAAGCGATCACCTTACCAAAAAATAAAGTATCAGACTGCTTTGTTCAGCATGCATTCCGCTTCTGACAAAACTAGAAGTGAATTTGACCAGCATAAATTGAAATGGCTAAGTCAGACTAGACAGCCAAACCATGAGCTGTAATGGCTGTGTCTGACCAGAACCAAAGAGAAGTGAGTCAGCTGTGTGGAAAAAAGCTACCAACTTCCTAAGAGCTGGGGTATGACAGAAGAGCAGTAAGTTTAAAAGTAGCTTTTGAGTAATACCTGATAACTTATCCAACACAGCGCATCCTACCTGGCAGGCTATATGTTCAAAAGATGGACTGTTACTTACTCTAAGAGACCAAGCAATTATTTTTTCCCCAATATTTTTAATCAGTTACTTGGGTTATTCATTAAGCATTTCCATGACTCACAATGTAATCCAGGAAAATATCACATGTCCCAATGAAAAGCCAACTTCTCCCTCTTTCCTTTGGCTAAAGAAAAATAGAAAACCAAATTGTGCCCCAGTACTGAATATTGGTCTATCTGCATACCCAGTAGCTCGGAAAATTGTCTAGATTTCCACCTGTTTGAAACCTGCTAAGAGGTCTTGTAAGAGTAATGCTAGCTAGATGCGAAGTTAGAGACTTACATAGGTTTCAAAGAACACTCGGCAGCTTTTCCAAGTAACTTTTTGTAGAAAAATAACTTGAGCTAAACACCTGATACTATTTTGCACAATCTTGTGTCCTACTGTACTAGTAAACAATGAGATAAGTGTGGTCAGATTTGAGGACCTATGAAAACACTTCACCTTGCCGAACATCTTTCACTGTGGAATGATATACGTAACCTTTCAGAGGATTTCAAATTTGTTAGCTTCATGCACCTTCTTCTACCATCTTTCCTGTATAAGCTACAATGTTATAGCATAAAAATCACTTGCAGCTGATTTTCTCCATCCTTCAAGCTTTAGACTGTAACTAGTTTGTTGGGAATCATTACAAACGAAGCAGAGATGGAGTGACCCAGGTGTTTAGATGTTTAAAGCCTTTGTATACAAATGATTGTATACTGATGCTTTAAATAAATATTTAAACTTCAATGTCATTGAATTCACTTTTATACAATAAATAAAAATATTGCATTTCTATCGGCCTGTTTTTGGAGTTGATTTGGAATGTTATTTTAAAAGTCGTAAGTCCACCATTAAGCAGTTAAGGCTTCAAGCTCTTTAGGTTTCAGCAATTTCTTTGCTGCAATAATTGTATTCTTCATCAGCATAGCAACTGTCATGGGCCCAACTCCACCAGGGACTGGAGTAATGTAACTTGCTTTCTTCTTTACACCTGGAAGAAGGAAAGTTAGAACTAAGAAGGGTACCACAACATTTATAAAACAGGCTTGCAAAAGCTGCATTAAACAAATACAAGTCATAAAAGGCTACATTGGAATGAAAAATGCAAAAGTTCGTTATGAACATGTAACCTAGTTCTTATTAAGATTGAAGTCTAGTTTAGAGTAATTCAAAATCAGCAAAGACTATCTGTAAAAGCCCCATTCCCAGTGTTGAGTTGATCTAAGAAGAGCTTCATCTAAGAGGAGCTTCAGTCTGAGCACATGCCATCCTACACCTTTTCTGGGACAGTCATTGACAGCATGAGTATCTCAGCCTAATTTTACATGCAACTCACAACACAGTTTGGTTGCATGATCAAAACATGTAATAAGGTGTCTAATCTCAGAGGCACAGCAAGTCACTGGTAAGTAGTAATCCTGCATACTATTAGGTGAAGCAGTAAAAGAAAGGTTTCTCTGTGCATCTGTGAAAATGGGAGTTGGATCAAGTGACTGAAAATTACAGATGTCTGGCAGAGCAATTGCTCTGTGGTCCATGGTTTAACTACAGTAAAACAGGAAGCACCATTCCTGTCACTTATTTCTCAACTACGGTATGAGGTCAGATTCATTATCTGCTTTACAACGTAGGAGAACTTCTCAATGTCAGTCACAGGAGTGGGGTTTCTCTGCCCTTCTAAATATCCAAGATATTTAACATTCAAAGCTATCAATTAAAAAAGCAGCCTTTCTACCTTCAAAATCCACATCTCCAACTAGTTTTGATTTGGCAGTAACAGGATCCTGTACTCGGTTTATCCCAACATCAATAACTGCTGCTCCTTCTTTAATCATATCAGCTGTGATCAGATTAGGAATACCTGAAATTTAAAAACACACCAATCTATTACGCCATACTGAGCTGCTACTGAGCAAAATTCATATCTGTAAATCTAGTCAAACCCACTGTCAAGAGACAGAAAAGCAGATTCTTAAAACCGAAATGTAAGTATGCCTAGCAGCATTCCCTGTAAACTGTGCTTGGGCAACCATCCAGGAGCAATTCAGGTGCTACTCAGTGGATTAAGAGAGCACCCAGATACACATGCTGCTGGCTCTACCTGTGGTAGCATGGCTGCACATGCCTTGGTACACAATATTTTCAGTCATGTGCAGAATAAATAAAGAGAGGGAACATGGATATCCATCCAAGCCATGCTTCC